CAGGGACATGAATGGGGCTGGAAGCCATTATCCTTAGCAAACTAACCCAGGAACAGAAAATCAAATACCACATGTTCTCACTTATAAGTGGGTGCTGAATGATGAGAACACGACACATGGGGAAACAACACACACTGGGCCTTGTTGAAGGGTGGAGGGTGGGAGGAAGGAGAGCCTCAGGAACAATAGCTAATGGATGCTGGACTTAAGACCTAGGTGATGGGATAATCTGTGCAGCAAACCACCATGGCCACGTATGTAAGAAAGCTGCACATCCTGCACATGTACCCCTGAACTTAAAATAACAGGTAAGGAAAAAAAATTTTATTCCAATTTCAATGCAAGCCTTGGAGGGTTTTAGACAGGGAAGGGACTGCAACTGATTCTGTATTCTATCTGTAGAAGGTATTTTGGGTGCTTTGTTGAGAATGGGTTGTGGGATAGTAAGAGTGGGGACTGATAGTAAGTGGGGGGAACCACTTAAGAGGCCAGTCCAGCTGAAACAAGAGTCACTGTTGCCATTAAATAGTTTCATCAGATTTTTCCACTAATGCCCTCCTGGCCTTTGAGGATATAATGCAGACAGAGACTAGCCAAGTCCAGATCCATTTTGTCCCTTTCAAGCTTCTTTTCTCCAACCCACGCCCTATCCCAGCACCCTCCCCCTTGCAAAACATAGGCTCTCATACACGAAAATAAAAACTGATTCAGGTCCACTGGGGAGGGCTGGAGATAGGAGATGAGAGCTGTTGTCATCAACAGCCAGATCGTAATGCCACATTTTGTGGGCATGACACTGTAAAGCCAATATGGATACAGAGTTCAGATCCCCTCTAAGTACCCAGAAAGAACCTATACTGAGTTACTAGTTATTATTATCTAGACTTTATTGAATATTTCATGGGAAATATGAAGACTAGAGCTCACATGGCACACCTAACATATTCCTGTTTTCTCTAAGACCCTCTCCTAGGATAGCAAAGAGATGAAAAAGAGGCATGTGCCAGGAAGGAGCCAGAGCAAACAGGGCCTTCTATGTCATGCTCAGGAGAGATTTTACTTATGTTGGGGATTATGCAACAAATAAGACTCAAACTACACATAGTGGAGGACAGGGTTACAATGGCCAAGGTCAGACTAAAGGTTGACTAAGCGTATATGCTTCCTGAGGCTGCTATAACAAATGACCATACACTTAGTGGCTTAAAATTTATGATCTTACTGTTTGGAGGTCAGAAGTCTAGGCTGGGTCAACAGGGCTGGTTCTTTTGGAGGATCTAGGGGAGGACCTGTTTCCTGATCTTTTCCATCTCTGGAGGCTGCTTGCATGTCTTGGCTTATGGCCCCGCCTCAGGTCACTCGGACCTCTGCCTCTGTCATCACATCTCCTCCTCTGACTCTGATGCTTCTGCATCCTAATTTCACCGACCCATCGGCCCATGTGTCGAATGCAAGATAATCTCTCTGTCTCAAGATTGTTCTCTTCATCACTTCAGCAAAGTCCCTTTTGGCATGCAAAGTGGTCTACTTACTGGCTCTGGGAATTAGGACGTGGGCATCTTTGGAGTGGGGGAGCGGGGAATTGTTCTAAAGACTGAAAGCAAAAGTTTGTGCCAAGTTTCATAAGAAATAGTTAAATCCTGTTTCATGGCCTCAGATGGCATCCCAGCTCTGGAGCGGGGATGACCCTGTGCATTGTGTCCCCTCCCCCGGGAAACCAGGACGTGCTTTACTGGGATCATCCTCAAAAAGAGCAGAAAACCTGCTGTGGTATAAAGAAACCCCTGAGCAGGGGTTCTCCTCTCTGCACGAAAGAGGTGTTTGACAAATGTTTGGCACACCCATTCCTCTCAGCATCTGCCTCTTCCCTGGGGCCAGGTCCTTCAACTGGGTTGGGGTTCTGATGACATCCTTTCCTCCCTGGTGGCATTTCTAGACATGTCATAATTTACTCTCTCTGTTCCCCACACTTGGCTGATCTCTTTGTGACAACACGGCTGTCATTTACTGGGCATTTAATACATGAAAAAAATAAAAACTGTATTGAGCTCTTACTATTTGTCAGACACTATGTGGAGCGGTTCATATAGATTATCACATGGAATCTTTCCAGAAATCCTATTAGATAAGTAATGTTACTGTCCTTCATTTTATTAACAGGAAGAGGAGAAAAAGACACTGAGGCACAGAAAGGTTAGATAACTTGCCTAAGCTCACTCAGCTGGAAGTAGGCAGTCTTCATTGAACTCTGGTCTTCTGACCTGGAATTTATGCTCTTACAAAATTACCCTTCTGTAGTCCCAGATACACGGGAGCCTGAGGTAGGAGGATCATTTGAGCCCAGGAGTTCGAGACCACCCTGGGCAACATAGCAAGACCCTATCTCTAAACAAAACAAAACAAAAAATTACCCTATTTTGGAAGAGGTGAATGGATGAGTGGCAGGATATATGCTGACTGTTGTTAAACAGCATTAGATTAGGTGCTAGAAAGTGCACATGCATATCCTGCTTCACCACTCCTTGCTGGATGACTTGGACAAGTTGCTACCCCTCTCTGGGTCTCAAACAGGAGGGGCTTGCACAGAAAGGAGGGGTTTGCTCGGACACTAGCTTTCTGTGTCTAATACTAGCAGCCTGTTGGTCACCACCCTACCTTGCTTTGATCTTAAAATATGCCCACAAGACGTGGTGTTTGCTGTCACATGGCCACGTACGGTGAGCGGCACCAGGTCTAGGTTCCTGAGGCCCCCTCACGTGGCACAGCCTACAGCTCCCCCATCCCCGGGGCCTCCGGCAAGGATCCAGGCGGCAGCCGGCAGCCGCAAGCATGTGCTGTTTCTGTGGTTTCTACTTAGAACAGTTTCCTGTTTCAACCTGCCAGTTCCTTAAAAGCATTAGCTTGAGGTTTTGCCGAATGACTCCACTCTATTTTCATAAAGGGGTGGAGGGGCTCCTCCTGGGAGCCGAGCCCAGAGCTGAAATTCCACATGAATTAAGGGTATATAGAACTTGGAAGTCCGTCTCCTGAAGAAAAAATAGCCTGGCTTAGGGTGACTTTCAGAAAGTAGGGAGAGTTCCTCCACCAGCCAGATTCTTGGGCCCTACTTGCCTAAGAGGTTGGCTCCATTCCTTTATCTGGGCCTCAGTTTCTCCATCTCTTACATGAGGGGGCTGGATCCTCTCTCCAGATACTAGGCAGTCCCCAGGTCTCTGTTCACTGTATGTGAAGTAATGAGCACAGTGGTAGCCAACACATGTATAGCCCTTCCTGCGCTGTTCTAAGCACGTTATAAATGTTGATCCTCTGAAGTCAACACTCTTTCTGTCCCCATTTTATAGTCAGGAAACAGAAGCAAGTGATGTTGACTAATTTGCCCATGGTCACATTACCTTCAAGTGGTCAAGTCAGGAGTTGAACCCTGGTGATCTGGCTCCACAGCCCTTGCTGCTGGCTGTCTTAAAATAAGACCTTTCTGGCGGCAGATGGGCTACTGTTGAGCAGAGTGCAGTAGATGTGATGTCAGAGGGCTCAGGTTTGAGTTTTGGATTCATCATCTGGGTGACCTTGGGAAAGTCTCTCAATTTTTGGAGCCTCCATCTTCTCATCAATGAAATGGAGCTAGTTGGACCCATGCTGCTGATCTGCCAGAGTATGCAGGGAATTTGAGGTGATGATTATTTATGAAGAAGCTCAGGACCAAGACAAGCAGACTCCTTGCATAGGTTTTCATTATTAGTCCCATATCTCACATCCCCTACTCCCACCCTCAGTTCTGGAGTTGTTAGTTAGGTCTGCTTTTACTAGGGAGGGACTCCAGAAGGAAGGTCCAGTTGGAATGCTGACAGCTCCAAAGCCACCTCTTTGGCCTAGAAATGGGGTTCAGGGGACTAGCAGTGACTTTTTAGCAGCCTTGAGTCAGCTGCCCAGAGTGGACAGCCCTTTGAGAGCCAGCACTTCCTCCCCACCCCTGTGAGGCATCTGGGTATAGGTGGAGCCCTGTGGGAAACTGGCCTCAGCCACCAATTCCAGACTTCCATCCATCTGACTCCTTGGCACTGTCCGAGTATCTAAGAGACATCTCCAATTTAATCCACCCAAACAGAACTCTTGATTTCCCCCTTGAAATCTACTCTTCCCTCGGCCTTTTCTGTCTCAGTGAGGGGTATAACCCAGATTTCTCAGCCTAAAACCCTCCATTCACCTTTTTCCTTCACAACTCGTATCCAAGCCACGTGCAAATTATGTGGACTCTCTGATTCTATCTCCAAATTATTTTCTGACTCTGCTCTCTTTTCTCCACCTTGCTACACCATCAAGAGTCAAGGGAGAGATGCTGGTAGCCACCATCATTGTTTACTTAGTCTACTTAGGCAACCCCAACCCACCACCCTCTGGGTATGTTGCCCCTGCCACCCCTTGACACAACCAGAGGGATCTGCCTGGGAACATACTTCATCAATCCCCTGCTTAAAACCCTCTATGGCTTCCAATTAGACAATGCCAAAGCTCTTTACATGGTGTCCAGACCCTCCAAGATGCATTGAACCATCTGGCCTCATCTTCCACCACTCTTTCTCTTGCACATTTGTTCCTGCCATCCTGGTCTTCTCTCTGTTTCTTAAGCAAGCTAAGCAAGCTCCTTCCTACCACAGAACTGTGGCACCAGCCTCTTCCGTGCCTGGAAGGCTTTACCCTCAGATGTTCCTGGGGCCAGCCCTTTGTCATCATTCAGGTTCCAGTTCAAATGTCCTCTTCCCAGAAAGCCTTCCCTGACCACCCTGTCTAAAGTCATTACCTGCTCCCACTCACTCTTCTCGACACGTCTGTTGTTTTCTCCAAGGATTTATCAACTGACATTGTCATGTTTATTTAATTGTTCAGTTGTTCACCATCTGCCCCCTTCACTAGAATAATAATGAGGGCTGAGACACGTGCATGTTTTCACAGTAATATTTACACTGTACCACCAGTGGGGGCTGGGGGAAATCTGGCACATAAAAAGCACTCAATAAGTAGTTGTAAAATGAATCTAAAAGTGTGCTATGTCCTAGAACAAGTTAACTCTCTAGGCTTCGATTTGTCCATTGATAAAATAAAGGGGAATGAAATGAGTTGTATCGAAGGATTCTGTTCATTCTCACATTTTCTGAATCTCTGGACCCACAAGTTGCTCTTGGGATGGATGGATGGATGGATGGATGGATGGATGGATGGATGGGTAGATGAGTAGACGGATGGGTGGATGGGTGGATGGATGGATAGATGGATGGATGGGTAGATGGGTGGGTGGATGGATGGATGGATGGATGGATGGATGGATGGATAGATGGATGGATGAATGAATGAATGGGATGGTTTCTGGGGGTTTTATTGAAGACACCTGGGACAGAGGAGGTTATCAGGAGCAAGGTGGAGGCTGGGAAAGGGGGCAAATAACTCCAGTCAGAATGGGCTTCTGAGAATGGGCTTCAATTGAGAGAGAGGCACAATCCCCCACTTTCCTCTCTGCCCACTCCACAGGCCATCTTTCCCCATGGCTGCACCGGGGGAGGTGGCAGCAGCAGCTGCCTGCCCACCACCAGGAGCTCCACCTAGGAGATAAAAGGAGCCGAAGGAATGTGCTGGCAAAGCTGACGTCCCTGTCTTCTCAAGGGTGTAAATGGCTTTCCTGCTCCCACAGGTTCAAAGAGCACTTCATTTCACAGCAAAAGTACAGCTAATGAGAAACAGATTCTCTGGCTCCAGCTAGAGTTCTGAGAGCCCAGGAGACAAAGGAAAGCCCCCAAGAACCTGGATGTGAACGTGTGCACTAAGGGGCCCTTTCCTCCCTCTCCCTCTGGGGCCACAGAGCTATTTCAATGGCAGGGGAAGGGGCAAGAGCAATGTCCCCATTGGCAGTTAAGAGGAGCCTTCAGAAGGGGGCTTCTGAGCGGTGGGTCTTCCAATCATGCTGAGTTCTTTTTAGGCCTGAAAGCCAAGCCAGGCAATGCCTAATAATAATAACAACAGTTTCCGTGTACTGAGAGCTGCCAAGGCGTAACCTGTGGGGTGGCACAGTGGGAAGGCCAAGGGCTTTGAGGCCACAAGGCCTGGCTTGTGGACTCTGGTCCTCAGTTTCCTGTGGCCAAGAAGCACACTGGTGGTGATCAGTGAGAACACTGCTCTTCATTGGGAAGTGAAAATAACACTATATGGAGGTCCCGAGGACCTAGGTTCTAGCCTTGGTTCAGCCAAGTGTGATTTTGGGCAAGGCAGGCTGGGGCCATGACCCTTGGATAGCAAAAAGGACTTACCTTAAAATTTTGATTCTTCTCATTTGGGCAAGTCACTTGGCATTTCTGAGCATGTATTTTCTCAACTGTAACCAGTACAAGTAACAACCTCATGGCATGTGGTAAGAGTCAAATGAGAAGAGACACGTAAACTACTAGCACTTGGTAGATGTTTGATGCCAGGGATGGAGCCCAAAGGCCTTAGAGGGAACAGGGCAATCTGTGACCAAACCAGAAGACAAACTCAGGCTGGACTCACAGCCAAACAATACAGTGAAAGATAACCATTGTAGAGTGGGTACAATATCCCATGCTCTGTGCTGTAGATCTTAGTCTATCCTCACAAAAAGCACATGGGGCAGTTACTTCCATTGCCCTTAAATAACTAAAACCAGGACTTAAACTGAAAAGACTGGACTCCAGAGTGTGTGCTAAGTTAGTAGGCTATTCTTCAAAGTTTCTCTGCAGCGTCTCCCCTCTGCTCTGGGTATCTGTCTGCTTCCTGGGGTCCCATTGTCAGCAGACTCAAAGTGCCCAAACTGGGTAGCCAGCTGTCCCCTTGTCCCCTTCACTTTTTTTTTTTTTTTTTTTTTTTTTAGACACAGAGTCTTGCCCTGTTACCCAGGCTGTAGTGCAGTGGCCACAGTCATAGCTCACTGTAACCTCAAACTCCTGGGCTCAAGCCATCCTCCCACCTCAGCCTCCTGAGCTCCCGATTCGCTGGGACTACGGGAATGTGCTACCACACATGGCTTTTTTTTTTTTCCTTTGTAGAGATGGGGTCTTACTGTGTTGCTCAGGCTAGTCTTGGACCCTTGGCCTCAAGCAATCCTCCCACCTTGGACTCCCAAAGTGCTGATATTACAAGTATGAGCCACCTTGCTCAGCCTCAATAAATAAGTGTTATACAGTGTTCATTTCTTGAACATTTACTATATGCTGGGCATTTGGATACAATGGGGAACAGAACACACACACACACACACACACACACACACACCCCTATCCTCATGGAACTTATATTCCAGTGGAGTGGTGGAGAAAAGGAACAAATGGACAAATGAGATTTTAAACATCAAGTCACAGTTTCACCAGTATTTGTTTATCAAAGTTTAGTAAGATACTCATCTGTGGACTCTAAAGAAGTTTAGTTCTTGCATTATGCCTTATAATATTTAATACCGACTGCATGCTAGGAATTATTCCAGGAACTGAGATGAAAAAGATGAATAACATGTGTACCTTACCTTTGGTGAAGTCCTATTCTAGGAGAGAAATAGACATATTGTGTAATTTTAGTATATGGTGCTAATAACTGTTTTAGAGGAATCCCCATCTGCCCAGAGCCTCAAAAAGGGTTTGAGGGAAGAACCAGAAGAAGCCTAAGGAAGGCTTCATAGAGAAGGTGATAGCTGAGCCTGTCCTTGGAAGATGAAGCTGATCTTCTGTCCACTAGATAAAAATGGAAGTCAAGACTTCCTGGAATGAGGAGCAGAGACAGAAGCAAGAATAGGCATAGTATGTTTGGGAACAGAGAATAGTCCATTTTTTTTTTCCTGCCTCAGGTTTATTTGTACAAATAGCATAGGAGGACCCCAGTCCCATGCAGATGGCAGCGTGAGGGTCTCACCAGTCCTTCTGTCCCTCACGTTGGCAGACAGAGATATCTACTCCAAAGCCTTTGTAGGATCCTGGGCACCTTTGAGACCCTAAGCTGGAACTGAAGCTGGAGCTGCTGCCTGGGCCTTGGTTTGATCCTTGGCCTTGGCCTTTGGCCAGCACAGCCTGAGCCCCTTGGCAATGCAGACACCAGCATGTTTCCCAAGCTTTGGGTGGGCAGTGTAGGCAAGTCAGTCGAGCTTGTGGCTGACACCTTTGGGATCTTCAACTTTACCTCCTTGGGCTTTACAAGGGCCTTGATAGCCTTGCCACTCGCACTCATGGCCTTGGTGTTGTTGGCCTGTGTCTTCTTTAGGCCTTTCTTCTTGTGCTTCTTGGCAAAGCACATGTTCCTCAGGAACTTGCAGTCCCCCCCCTTAAGAGATTTGTATCTTTGTGATCGGGGTTTCTTGATACCATTTCTGTGCCATTTTCGGGACTGGTTGTGTGTGGTGTAATTCTTGGAGTTGGCCACATCTGTACCTTAAACTACGGCTCTTGAAGCGCCAAGAACCAGAAGAGCCAGGGGCAGCAGAGAGCCATCATTTTTATGTGGGTAAAGAATAAGTTGGATGTAGAGGAGACATGGGACAGGAGAGAATAATATTAGGAACCCTGGGTGCCAGCAGGTAAGTCATGTGGAATTGTGGGAGATCTCTAAGGATGTGATCAGTCACGCATGGATTTTATCCTCTGTCTTCCTGTTCATTGATCCTGTCTTTGGCTATGTCTAAAGTTATATTAAACCTATCTCTTGGACACTTAAAATGAGTTATTTCATCGTTCAAGTCTGGAGTTTCCAGCTGATTTTTTTTTTTTTTTTGGTCAGCTTCATTTCTATGTGGAAATTTTCCATCTTTTTCATTTATTTCCTTGAACATATAAATCAATTGTTATAGTCTATGGCTAAAGATGCCCACCTTGGGTCCTACCAGTGACCACCCCTTGCTCAAAGAAGCAGTCTATAGCCTTTCCCTTGGCAGAGCATTGAGGTCAGAACAGTGTTCCTTTAAAGCACACGGTGGACATAGCAGAGATCATGGTGGACTTGGTAAGCAGAATCTGGGGTGATTCCCATGGAGAGGGCGGGGCAGCAGGGAGGGCCCTAGAAGGAGATGTGGGAGAATATTCAGGGAAAGGCCATAGACTCCCCAGCTTGGGCCCCTCTGTAGTAACTGCCTACTCGCCAAACTGGGAGTAGCACAGCACCAATCACTCTCCACCCCACCCTGCTCCAGCTGGGAAAGACATCCTGGCTGTGTAAACTAACCTTATGAGTCTTATTCCAAGAAGGCCAAGGAATTTGACAGGAAACAACACAAGCTAGTCGCCTCAAATCTCTGTCTGGGCTTAATGTGATTGGATCTGAAATAGCTACAGAGAGCCTCATTCTTAAATGTGTTGAACCCACATGGATACACGTACATTTGCATGCACAAACAGGAAGGTTTAAGATGAGGCCACCACGGGGTGAGGCCATACTAGGCCTTCATGCAGAAACTGAAACTAAAGCTTCCATTTCAAGTGAGATCCCCGGTGGAAGGTGTTTGACAGGCCTTGTCAGTCAGACTCCTGCAGTCTGTCTCCACAGCCAAGAATCCTTCACCTCTCTCCCCACTCTTCAGCTTGACCATTCTTGGGAGTTGGAGGCAGCTCAGCAATGGCTGTTTTCAAGTGCAGAGTGAGCTATCTCTGCCAAGAGCTTGTCTTGCCAGCCACTTCCTGGCCCCAGCCCTCAGCTTGCCCAAGTCTGACATCACCCATAACCCCCACCACCACCCCCAGAATAAAGAGCCACCTCAGAGGCTGGGACTGCCAGACCTGGTCCCCCACTCCTTCCTGGACATGTCTGGCTGACAAATCATAGAAGCAGCATCCATTCTAGCCACATGCACAGCCCTCACTGCTCAGGGTGGACTGACTACCCCAGATCACCACTGCCTAAACAGACCTCATTCATCTGATACGGGAGAGATGGGCGATGTCAGGTACTAGGACCAAAACACAGGGCTTCCAGCCTTCATCTACCCGGGAAACTCAAGGGACCTTACAGGGGTCTTTCTTCTTACTGCATTTTAGGT